TCTGCCAGATACACATACCCTGACTTTGTCAGAGTCTGGTGCATCTGAGTGCCAGGCACAGGTTTCGTCAGAACATCTGATCGATTCTGTTTACCTGGAACATGCACGACCTTAAGGTGGTTTTCGGCTACTCTTTCCTGCAGCCACAAGTATCGGGTTTGGATATGGCGTGCTTTGCCAAGTCCAACACGGTTGACTGTACCCTTTGCAGCGTTCGAGTCTGACTCGATGGTGACAGCTGCATACCATAGTCAGCCAATAGGGACTGAATTCCCAGCCCGGCACTTCCACCTTTAACCAGAGCATAATACTCTGACTCACCTGTCGAAAGCGCACAATAGTTGGCTGCACATTCGAACTGTGCTGCACATAGTAGGCAATCATGCCTGTGGTCGATTTTCTTGTCACTGTGTCTCCTGCATGATCACTATCGACCTGTACAGCAAGTCTCTCAGGCGCCTTTTGTGCTTTGAAAACCTGAGCGAAGTCTAGGTATCTGATCAAGTATCTGATCAATCTCTTCAGGTCTGTCAAACTAGCCTCGGTCGGCTGAACCAGCCGTCTCGCGAGGTTCTTGACAGCATGGCCAATGTCTGGCCTGTCTTGCGACAGATAAGCTGCCCGCATTACTGCGGATCTGAACTCTGACGCGGCTTCCTTTGGAAGCAAGGGGCTCCTTGTTTCAAGAGCCTGTTGGTCTGCAGATTTCTTCACATCTGGACTCTCTACGCCTTTCGCGCTTACCATACCAAAACTCTGGATCAGCAGGTCCACATGCCTGCGATCAGGTTCAATCCATACTGCTGGTCTTCCTTCACTTTCACCACACCGAATCAACCTGTTCAGGAAATGAATTTCTTTCTTGTCCTCAAGGTTGGTCTCCGATGATTCCGAGACATTTCAGCTCGTAGGACTTCCAGCTCACTGAGATGTTTCTGATCACCTAGTGCTAAGAAGTCATCTCAATGTACCATCACACGGACATCGTGCTGTGGGTGGTGAAATACCGAAGCATTGGATTTAGGCGCTTACGCGCGACAGCCGGCCAGGGGCCCATGTTGAGGTGATATGGGTCGAGCTGGGAGCAAGATCTTAAGGCTATGTTGCCCCATCTTGAGGCTATGTTGGTCCATCTTGGGGCTATGTTGGCCCACCTTGGCGCTATGTTGGCCCGTCTTGGGGCCTAGGTTGGCCGATCTTGAGATGTTGACCCATGTTGAGCCAAAAGATCCGAAAAATGGGAACAGCAAAAAAAACACTGTAAAACGCAGGATATTTCGATGGTCGGCGGCCTATCTTGGGGCTATGTTGGCCCATCTTGGGGCTATGTTGGCCTATCTTGAGGGCAATGTGGCCCATCTTGGGGCTATGTTGGCCCATCTTGGGGCTATGCTGGCCCATCTTGGGGCTATGTTGGCCCATCTTGGGGCTATGTTGGCCCATCTTGGGGGTTATGTTGGCCCATCTTGGGGCTAGGTTGGCCCATCTTGGGGGTTATGTTGGCCCATCTTGGGGCTAGGTTGGCCCATCTTGAGGCCTATGTTGGCCCATGTTGACCCATCTTCAGCCACAAAGTCCGAAAAATGGGAAAAAATGGGAGCAGCAAAAAACACCGTAAAACGCGGGACTTTTTATGACTTTTTGGCGACACGCGGTCTACGGCGGCACTTCCATACATGGACTTCTGGAGAAGTCCACACATCTTGCCTCCCTCAGCTCTTGGCTCTTCACTGGGGTGCTCTATGAAAATAATGCTTTGGTGTTCCATAGAAATGCGCGCGGGATATGTCCCACAAACCAAGTTTCAGTCGTTCACCGTGGATCGACCTCTATTTGGTCGCCCATAATGAGCACAGCAGCTCCATTGCTTCGAGAGGCGGTGTGCTTGAAAACAAAAGATTTGCAGGTAGCTGGTCTTCAGGCCGTTTCGCGGCCTTTATATCTTTGACAGCCAGCCTGCTTCTGAAATTCGGGTGGGTAGGGTCACCTTTGTTCGTATCAAGCCATCTAGTCTTGATCGGGGGTGTCCTGGCTTCTTCAAAGCATTGTTCAATCGGCACTAGCAAGTATACTTCCTGTTTGTGAAGATACTGCATCTCTACCGATCTGGCCTTTTCGACTTCCTCTTTTGGAAGCACTCCCCCATTGACATCATCCACGTACGGTTCTTCCCTTCTGGGTCTACAGTTGGTATTTCTAGAACTGGTCCTGCACTGTACGCATGGACAGCGTTCAGTTCACCTCTTTCTTCCAGCTCTCTTTTCAAACATTTGAGCACAGCTCTTAACTTTGCCGCTTGCTGGGCTATGCCACCGATCAGGTGGATGTGGCGGTGCCATGGTGCTTCACCTGCCTTATTTGTGCATTCTGTTTCCAACAGTTCTGCCAACCCTGGGCGGTTTGTCATCCACCCGGTCTCTTTACGCACAAAGCCTGCACCCTGCAGGCCTCGCCGGTCTGTAGCAGTCATGCCCCACTTGCACATAGGGCCTCGCACCACGTGCACATCATCCATTGAGGATATGCATTCCACCCTTTCATCTTTCCAGCTCGTTGCACCCCACGGCGCTTCATGAAGAAAGTATCTCCCCTGCTGGATCTGCTTCTCATACACATCACACGACGTGTGGAGGTGATGCAATGCCTCTTTCATTCTTTTCTCTCTGATCTCTGGTGGAATCTTGTTCCAACTTATCGCTTGCAACTTGGAAAACAAATGCCCAGGCGGACTGCCTGTGATCAACAGGGGCTCTTCACGATCTATCAGCTCGTGAAGGAGTTCCACGTCTGCTGTCTTGTTGAGGTTCCAGTATTCACCAATTTCCTTTGTCTCACAAAGATCTACAGCGAACCCTGGCCTCAGCTTGTACTGCTGCGCCAGCGCCGCAAAGCGTTTCGGCGAGTAAACGTCTGCAATATCTGTTGCTGCCATTTCGCAACTCAAACTTGCAATATCATTGGTTTCTTGCGATGAAATTTCAATCCCATTCTTCTTGTACGTCTCTTCCACCAAAGTCTTGATGTTGCCCATGGCAACCTCCTTCAACACAGCTAAAGCTGCACCTTTCAGATCTTGTGCTCCTGTGTCTGTTGCTTCCTCCGCTGCTGGTGCTGCGGCTGGAACAGCCGCTTGCTCAGCAGTGGTTCTACTTTCCAGATCTCCCGTACCTTCCTCGGCGGTACGCTTCACACTTCGCCTTAGTCAGTGCTGGTCCTGATGCGATACTCAGACCCCCAGGTCGCTTCACTTGCTTTGGCGACACTTTCGGCTTTGCCTTTGCTTTAGAAGTTGATGATCTTCGCATCACTTGCCTTTTGAACTTCCCTCTCTCTCGTTTGGATCTTCCGGTATCTCTGGCGGCGGATGTTCAACGCCACTCGGTTCAACCGGTCTGCCTTCTGCATCTTCTACGCTCATCTCTCTCTCTCTGGTCGAAACGAGCGCTGGTTTTGGTCTGTCTCTCTCTTGGTCTGCTTTGCGCTTCTTTGCATATGCCTGGATTCTTTCTGCTCCAGTCTCGTTTTTCTCCATTGCCTCAATGATTCTTGCCCTACAGGCTTCTGTATGAGGCACAGTTGTCCTTCGGTTTTCAAGGACACAAGTACAGCCTGGGCAACCTTCAGTTGCTCCATGCTTGTGCACATTTTCTCTTCTGATGTACAGTTTCCTTCTTTGAGGTGGTGCCACTCGCGCTTCAGGCGGTGGCAGAGGTACGACTAACCGGTCTTCGCCGATCAGCCGCTCTCCTGCAGCTGGCCTTGGTGCACTCAGATCCCAAGGTATTCCTCTCAATTGATCCCATCCAGTAGGATCCCATCTGTCGGCATCTGGCATTCGTCGGAATCCAATGCCAAAGATCCTGTGCGGCCATGATGCCCCACGTATCGTCCCTCTTTCAGGACACGCGTTCCTTTCCCTACTTCTCTCAAGTAGAGTCTCTCTCCAAAAGCTATGGCGGGCTTCCGCCAATGCTTTCCAATAGGGCGGACTTCTGGCGTCCTCCCGTCCGTTCCTTTCTTGTACCTGTTTAACAGGTCTGCTGCCTGCCGCGGCAACCAAGCAAGCATCGGGTCTTCATCCGGAAGTACCATGCCTACTTTCTCTTCCAAGGCTGACCTCAAAACTCGGATCTGCCTTTTTACTTCACGGATTGCATTTTCGACCAATCCATTCGCTTGATGGCCTCCTGGTGGAGGCTCTTCAGGCACTGACTCGATAGCGGCTTCTCTGGCCGCTGCCTCTTTCAATGCCATGATGGAGTGTTCTCCATCCGACTTAAGCACTACCTTGCGGTAGCCTAAGTTCTTCAAGAACGCTGCTGCAAACTTCACAGCGTAAGGGGTTGCACCCTTCGAGTCCACAAAGGTTGCTGCAACCATCTGTGTCCTCTTATCCTTGACCACAAGGATGGGCCTCAGCCTTTCATCGTCCTCGTCACTGCGAGACATGAATGCATAGTCATAGTCAAATGCAACAGTTGGTACCAGGTTTTGCTCCTTTGCTCACTGGTTCTAGTCTGGTGTCTCTGTCCCAGACCGCGTCCTGCGACGCAATGCCGGCACCAGTCTCCATAGACCACGTCTCTATCTCTGCCTGTGCCTGAGTATCTCGAGATCTTACCAGCTTTGGCCTCTCAGACTCCTCCACTTCTTCCATCACTTCCTCAATTGTATCTTCGGCCGGGTCGGCCCTGCACTCACCTGCCGCTTTCCACCTTTCGTCTTAAAATAGAAGTTGTACACTCCCTTTTCCTGATACACCGGCAGCCAAGTCTTGACCTCAGCTGCTGCGGAACGGTTGATGATTCCTTGGGTGGCTCTACCAGCCTTCGAATTCAAGGAAACCAATTGTCCACCATTCTCATCAAGCACAGCTATCCGGCCAAATCTCAAGCACTTGTGTGCTGACACCAAGGGCTTATGCACATCTGCAATGGCTCCTCGGACACAGCATCTCATACCGCTTTCCCCGAACTCTTCAAAGGTTCCTGTGCCCTCACTAGCCACCAACTCGCCAGATGCTGTCTTGAAAATCACCTCACTTGCTCTGGCAACAGTGACCGTATCATTCACCCAATCTTTTAAGACTGCCGTCTGTGCAGCTCCTGTATCCAAGTTGAATCTCACCCATTCCTCTACGGCTGAAGCAGCAGCTGGTGTGCAAACCTTTCCATCTATTGCTTCAACATCAAACAATCCTACGTCAGCCTCTGGCGCGGGCTCAGCACCCACTTCCGCTGACTTTCCATGTTCTAGCCCCGATACGTGTTTCTTGCCCTTTTGACTGCCCTTGCCGTCTTTCTTCTTGCTCCAGCAGTCTGCCTGTCTATGACCCTTCTTGCCACAGTTGTGGCACGCTATGTCCTTGTCCCGGTTTGGATTTGAGCCGCTTGAGCCTTTACTGCTATCTTTACCTTTCTCTTTTCCTTTTTTCCTGGCCCTTTACTAACCTTGCTATCCATTGGGTTATGGAATCAACATCCATTGGTTGGGGTCCTGAACTACTTGAAGCCTGTCCTGGTCTGGTCACGGAACCCTTCGAACCAACACTAGACCCGACCACAAATTCAATTTCTTGTTTCATCAAATCATAGGTGGTCAACCGATTCTTGTTAAGGATCAAATGTTTCTAAAGATCACTTGGAACCAACAGTTCTAGAGATGCTGATTTGGTGTCATCGCTCAACAACTCCCGGGTCCCTGAAGCTGACCTCCGAGCTTCGTATCTCCTCACCAAGTCTTCCAGCTGTTCGATAGCTGGCCTCACGGCGGCCCACGTTTTGCACCGCTCTGGATTTAGGATGGCCCGTAGGAGGTTTCTTTTCCTCCCGCTCGTGGCGGGGTCCCATCTCCTACAAAGCTTCCTACAAGCTTCGTAGCCATTACCAGCTCCAACAACAAGGTCTTCACTTTCCCCGGTGCATAGGTGGCACAACACCCGATACAGCTGTTCTCCAACCTTTTCTATTTTCTGCACATCGGGATGTTGGTTATCGGCCAAATCTTGAAGGTCTATGGGGTCTTCTGAATCCAAGCAACATTCCAAGACTTTGTCGTAGTCTGGACCAAATACCCTCGCAACCAAATTGTTGATTGACCGAGTCCACCTTCTAAAACGTTCTTTGTTGTCAAACACTTCAAGTCTTCCCAAACCTTTGGTGTCCATGAAGATTTTCCTGTCCGCGGTACCCTTTTTCAAAGACTGTGCCAACTCACCTACGGATTGTGCTAATGCCTGAACACTTGCCTGACCCTCTCTAAGCCGCTCATTTTCGGCGGCTAGCTTTGTTTGGGATTGCCTAAGTAGTTGGATGGTCTCTGCCAGTTCTTGAATTTGTTGCTCCACGTTACCCTTACCAATGGACGGCTGTTGCACTCCTTTTCACCCCTCGGCGGACGGAGCGTCCGCTCGCTGCGGCTCTCCAAGCCGCTGCGGCGCTGCTTTACACAGCAGGGTCAGCCCAGGCCTTCTTGACATCGGCCTTCTTTCTAAGATACTCTTCAACGCCCGGCTCTAACTTCCTCTTCCGGTCGTCGCAAGACGAACAAGCTTCGTCTCGTGCCCACAAGCGTCAAATGATCGATGCTGCCACAGTGCCCTTAGCTCCGGTGTCCTGTTGGAGCTGTTTTGCTGCTAAGTGCCTCACCTGAAAAAAAAAATCAACAAAATAAGCTGAAAGCTGATGCGTTGCAGCCCACCTGCTGGCTAAGTCCCGGATCTTCTCACTTAGCTTCAGGGCACGACCGTGCACCTTGAGTCCAAGTTCAGTTGGTCCTCGCACTCTGTTTCGGGCTAAAATCCTGGCTTTTGCTTTGTCGCCCTTTTCAAGACCTGTCGACCTGTTCTTTCAATCCACGGCACCTTAGCTCCTTGTTTCTTCGCAAGCCTGAATTGTCGTCGGAGGTTGCGATATTGACGGGACTGGGCAGATCGCAGTCACCCTAAAGCCTTTGGAATGAATCCTCTTCAACTTCCACGCGGACGATTCCACGGCGCATCCGTCGCTGGGCTTTGGCTGGGCGGCCTTGGAGTAAGTTCCAACCGCTCTGATGGATCTGGCCCTGGCCCTTGACGAATTTCAGACTGGCCTCTCAAGCCACGGATCTGGTGTGTCTGGGTCGGTACTTGATCTGCTGGATTTGCTAAACCAATCAAAGTCACGGCTGGCCTTCTTGTGCCACCAGAAGAAGTTGCTGACCTCGCAGTTTCAACCTGGAGATGTCCACCTGGACAGCTTTGCTGAGGTTTATAGAATCCGATCTTGGGCTTTGCTCTGGGCTTAGGGCTTTCTCTGGTCTCTTTTGTCTTTGGGGCTCCTTTGGGCTCTGGAACTGCCTTCTTTTCCTTTTCTTCTTCTTTCTCTTTCCTTTCTTCTACTATCTCTACTGGGGCGGCAACCAGCCGCTCCCAGCTCCGAGCCTGCGGCTGAACTAGCCGCTCGGCTCTTCTCCTCCTCCTCCTCGTCTGAGGAGTTACTCACAATACACCTCGACTTACTGCGCCTGTGGTCCCTTTGCCTCAACTCGTAATCGGCGTCGGACTCACCAGGCTCACGCGCTACCATGAAAACAGACTATCGAGCTGCGGAGCTCTATTTTACTTGAGCCAAAAGTAACATCGGGCCAACGTTCAACCCCTGGATCTATACACTGCACATGAGGGTTATATATGGTCCATACATGTCTTCATAGATAGATGTATAGCTATATATATGTGTGTGTACGTATGTATATATATATATATATACATACACATGTTGACATCAAAATACATATATTTATATATATATATACATAGATATACATACGTGTGTGTGTGTGTGTACGTGTGCGTGTGTGTGTTTAGATTTGGATGTTGGATATGTGACATGTGTTTCAGCAGTGTAACATGGCTATAGAAGCACCAGAAGATTGAAATCATGGATGGCGCCAGCTGAGATAGCTGAGGGGAAAAAAATCAACGACTCCCCAAGAGAATGCCCATTTCAAAACTAGCGTCAAAGACACCCTCAAACATGGAGGGGCACTCATGAGTTTGTTGTCATCGGCGCCAGTCATTGTGGATTCCAGGTTTTCAAACATGAAGCCTGCCACATTCGCGACAGCACAGAAAAATCTCTCGAGAGGCTTCACTTCCGCAAGCCTATCTCATGTCAAGATACCTTGAAGTCTACAACCATGCCAAACTCAGATTCTGGAACATGCTGAGTCAAGTTCCAGGATCAGACATTCACCCGGCATTACCATGCCTAGGCTGAATATCAGGATGGTGCAAACAAGGGGCACTGAAAGGACCCAGAAGTCTACTTATTCTCAACGGTGAAGTTAAGCATCTGAGTTCGGCGAGTTCGGGATCTTTTTCCATGGCATTACCAAACTGCGTCCAGGCAACGGAGAAATCTAGGCCTTTCCTCTTCAACCAGCAACTCTTCAAAACTTTGGTTGCTGAAGTCATCTGATGTCATCAGCAGTCTCCTTGACAGCTGCATTAAGCTCACTAGTCACTAAAATCTCATAATATAGTAAACCTAATAATAAACCATCCCCAAATTCACCAGAAATGGATGGCAGCAGGTGGTATATAAACCCTCCAAAAGTGGTACTTCATTATTACCACATTACCAGGCCAGTGGAAGTCACAAGATCCTGCTTTTGGAGTCCTTAGACACTCCACCTTCCCAACGACGCGCAAATTGCCGTCCAACAGCAGTTCACCATCACAAAGGCCGCGGAGCATCCTGAAATAAAACGTTGCCAGCCCGTGGGTTTCGAAAACCTCGCCAAGAAAGCCTACACTACAGGAATAGAAAAGTCAACAGCTAGTCCATTCTTGGATTTAGCCAAGCAGAAGTACCTATTACTCTCGACCCATACCATTAACAAAGTGCACCTCTCACAATTGGCTCAGCATCTGTCGAAAACTGACCACCATGGACTCGGAGTTGAGCAGCATAGCAATACGCGAGCGGGTTGAAAATTCCACGAGGCCAGAGACTGCCAAAATGGCAGAAGAAGCGATGAGCTGGTACCAGAACACCGTGGTTGCCTCGTTGGCTGTGGATTTTTTTTCCCGAGTGAAACTTGAAACAAAGAACCGGCTGGTCGAGCAAAATGCAGGAGAGGAGGGTACAAAGTTCACAGGCAAGGGTGCAAAGTCCAAACAGAATTACATGCACTTGAATCACCAAGACACTGTGCTTGGATCACGTTTCCACGCAATCCAAATCTCATGCATCATGAACAGAGCTTGCGCAGGCACTGCAGTTCCAATATCCGCAGATAGAAGCGATATCGTAAAGCGAATGGTCAATACCAAGGCTGAAGTTAAAATTGCATGTTCCTCCACTGGTAAGAAAATGTTTTGACCTGAAATGACCAACGGACTACAGTGACTACACCTATCAGGCCTTTTTCCCACACTGTGCATCATCCCGTGGCCAGCGATAAAAAACTCTGGAGTCCCAACAAAAGCTGAGGCTCACAATCACTAGGAAGCCCGTACACAAATGCACCACACTGCACGTAGTGAAGCAACACAAGTAGCCTCATCCTTGCTTTGTTCATCGTCAGTGTCTCGGTTGCAACTACATGATGCTGGATCCAGCCCAACAGGGCCATTGAAACTTGAAGGGGTGGCATGGAGGTTGGCTGCGCGAACATTGCGCACACCAAACCAATTGTAGCAACCGCTGTCACATGTACATATACCCGGGCTGCCGAAATGAAGTGTTTGATGCGAATGTCCCAGATCGCAACATCTAAAAGTTCCTGGGATTTGGTCGGCGAAGCCCGAGGACCACGCATGACACAGCTCAGTACGAACAGGAGGTCCTCTCGTTGGGCAAATTGGTTCAGTGGAAAACTTGGAGCGCTGCACGTGTTGGTTGGATCATTTGCAACACAACACATGTTTGGGGCACAGATTGCCTGCCATGCTTATATCCCCAGCCCACAAAGAACATCATAGTGCCCACAATGTGACAAATACATAGGTGTGACCCAGGTGTAAGTATTCTATTGCCCGGATCAACAAACCCAGCACCAACAAACAATTTTTCCAAACAAGTAAACATAAAATCGCAATCCACAAACGGGTTCTTTTGCTGGGCATGCTAAAGCTGACGCAAAACAAAATGTGTTTAAGAAAAAACACAAAAGAAAAGGGCAACCCCTGAGCAAATCCAAGTAGACCGGGCCATGTCCAACACAATGTGCTATGAGAATGATTGCAGCGCAAGCCGACACAATTGAGGCCATGAACATTTTTTCTGGGCACAAACCCCTCAAATTGAAAATTGCAAGTACGCGCGGCTAACCACCCTTGGGCCAGGAAATGCCATGAGAGAATCAACATGTTGCCACTTTCTTTGTGGCCATTTGTGGCCATTTGTGGCCATTTGTGGCCATTTGTGGCTGGTCTGCCGGCTGCAAAACCGAAATTTGAATCATCTCAGCAGCATGTTGAAATGATGTTCAAGACGCAAACAATTCAAGACCGCACTTTAATTCATTGTTTTTGGCATCCGAGCATTTGATATGTTTTTTGATCAAATCGTGCCCGCGCCACTGCAATAGTGTCATATGATTTCACTGTGAAAAAAAACATGCAGGTTGAAAATGTTCGCGTTGGCCGTCGAAATACGTTTTTGTTTTGCAGCCCTTTGGGGGTTCGCCTTTTCTCCGGCGCTGCTGTCAGAGATAACAGGCAATGAAAAAAATACTATATATAGCACCGCCAAAGCGTGAGCATTTTGTTTAATCATATGGGCCTTCTTTTCTGTCGTTTGAGATTTAAAAGCTGCACATGCACCGCAACATGTCCAAATCCAACTAAACCACACATGGTTTGCTGGTGGGCGGCCAATTTTAGGTGCAATATATATACCCATGAATCAGCCGATGGACAGGCCGCCTGTGCATACAAAACGGTTATGCTAGCCAATGGCGCCCCCACCCACGTTTTGGAGGCACCTGGAATGAATAATCAAAAGAAATTTCATAAAGAAACTCCGACTTACGGACATTCACATTAGCATTAGCCAAGAAGTCTAAAGTCTAGTTACAGTAGTTTGTCCTGCAATACAGAAGGAAATAGTTCAGAAGTCTTAAATCTAGCTGGCTTGTACTGAAATAGAATTGGGAAGAAAAGTGAAAAGTAAAAAGTAGCGTGATAGCTCAGACAATGTTGAATCTAGCTGGCTGGCCCTGAAGTAGAGCAGCATAGAATAGCAAAAAAAACAAAGAAACAACTCGTAGGTTTTAATCCTAGTTGACTGGCACTAAAGTCAAAGTAGAGAAGAATAAAGTAGAGTAGAACAGGGTAGAGTAAAGTAGGGAAGGGTAGAGTAGACTAGAGTAGAGTAGACTAGAATAGGTTAGAGCAGACTAGAGTAGACTAGAGTAGACTATAAGAGTACGAGCACAAGCAGGAGCACGACCAGCAGCACCAGTAGGAGCAGAGTAGGACTAGGAATAAAGTAGGAGTAGAGTAGGAGTAGAATAAGGATAGAGTAGGATAGCGTAGAATAGAATAGAATAGAATAGATTAGAATAGAATAGAATAGAATTAGAATTAGAACTAGAATTAGAATTAGAATGGAATAGAACAAAATAGAATAGAATAGAGTAGCGTAGAATAGAATAGAGCATAGTAGAGCAAAGTAGAGTAGAATAAAATGGAATAGAATAGAATAGATTAAAATAGAACGGAACGGAATAGAAAAGAATAGAACGGAATAGAAAAGAATAGAATAGAATTAGAATAGAATACAATAGAATAGAACAGAACAGAACAGAATAGAATAGACTAGAGTCTAGACTAGAACAAAAAAAGAACAAAATAGAATAACATAGAGTCGAACAGAACAGAACAGAACAGAATAGAATAGAATGGAATAGAATAGAATATAACAGAATAGGATAAAATGAAATCGAATAGACTAGAATAGAATACAATCCGCCGGCCTGCCGGCGTGTCTGATTGGAAGGTGTTGTTGTTGTTTCTGTTTTTGGTTTACAGGTCTGAAACCAAATTAATCATGAGATTGGCTACCTTCAAAGCATTCCTTCAAAAACTGGTTTGCCATAAAACCGGGCCTCCTTCTTTGAACATCTCCACGCACATTTGTTCGAATGCATTTTGGCGAAGCACTGTCGCAATTTTTCAATGGTAGAAGGCTGGATCATGGAATGGGAACGGGCCCGCATCTGACTTCCCGCACTTCATCTGCACAATGAGAAAAAACGGACAGGAAACACGCAAACGCTGTAGGTAAAAGTTTTTCGGTCACAGTCTTCTTGCACGGATGTAATTTTTCAAAACAAATCGCCTTCATCTTCCCCGGGTTTCGAAAAACATACAAATTTTCGATATACAGTAAGTTCTGAAATTCAATAGTGCATCGCGTGGGATTGAACAGTGGTTCCCCAACACCCCATCGTTTCACTGAACAATACGACATCCCAACTGCAAAGTTCCAGTTCCCCCAGCATCTCCGCTATCTTCACCTTTGAATTCAAAAGTGCATTTTTTTACAAAAATATGGAAAATTGGTTGGTTTTCCCGGAAAATTGTTGATTTGGGTAAAATTTCTTGTCTCGAACTCGAACGGCGCACTCCCTAAGAAGCAGTTCGTGCCGCGGCACCTGCACCCTTGCTTTTGCTCTTGCCTATGCCTTTACTTTGCGTTTGTGACATGGCCTTGGTTTTGTCCATGACCTGTTGCAACTGAATACTGCTTCATCCAAGGCTGCCCATCCATGCGCCCATTCTGATTTTTTTTGTGGCGACAAAAATTGCATGTTTTCTTCTTCTGCGCTAGCCATCTTCGCGTAATTTGTATCTCTTTCAACTTTGCGTTTCACAAATTCCCACTCACCAAATTGCCAACGTAGACCTAACAAAAAACATTTTTTCTTGCACGAGTCCGAATGGGAAGGTCTTGGGTTGCCCATACTTGTTGCTGGTCATGTTTGATATTGGCACTCCGCAAAGTTGCAATGGCTACATCTCGGGTATATATGAGGAACAATATTTTGCAAACACCACACCGTTGAACGACTTTGCTTTCATGTACGCCTCATTCGGACATGGCACATTTGATGTTTCCAGTTTGTCATGCAACCATTTCGTTGCACTTTGAGGGAAACACATCCCTGCAAACCCCCATCCACAACTATAGTTTTGGACATATCCCCTTCATTGGAACACGATTTGCCCTTGAGAAAATCGATTTGGGATATTGAAACTCCGAAATTTTGTCTGCAAAAAATTCAAAAGGTGAAGCATCTGTTGCCATCACCTGTTCGAAGCGCGCACGGCGTACATCTTGGTCACTCCCTGTATTGTCAAATTTTCCTATACCCACATCAAGTGTAGCACCCATATTTGTCAATTTACTGTCCAGTGGCACAATTGCTGTTTGATTTGTTTTTTCGCACGATGGCCGCAATTGTATTCAGAGAAGGAATATTACTTTCAGAATCCGATTTTAGGGTTCCGCCCTATTCATTTTCTTCTGGTGTTTCTCCCGTCCATTTCGTGCACAGAGGTACATAATCCTTCTTTCCTGTACTGGTCGATCAGGTGTCATGCTACCCATCGCATTTAACAGCCAAATGTAATTCTTGGACCACTTCAGTCACCTCACTAGAATAGAACAAAATGAAAGAGAAGAGAGTAGAATAGAATAGAGTAGACTAGATACACGCCCCCCCATCTCATACATGGGCAGGTGGTCAAGGTCGGCGACGGAAATAGGCGTCAAGAATGTTTATACACTAAATATTGTTTGGGATTGAATGAAACATGGGGGGGGAACTTGCAAAAATTCAACATACTTCAACACACTTCAACCATCTTCAACCCAAGGTTCAACCTAAAAAAGGCATCCTTTCGGTACTGTACAACCCTTTAAAATTGTTGGAAAAGGCACCCTAACATTTAGTACATTTAGGATTCTCAAAACAACCTTCATGTTTAATAAAAGCGCGGCGTGAAATTGCTGCTGACCCCCCAGCTGCATACATTCATGATACTCCATCTGCATCCCCCCCATCTCACTTCTACCCTGTAAACCATTTTTGGGGACGTGTCTACACAATGCATGCATGACACTTTGCATGTAGTACATGACATGTTCGCTTAATTCATTCTATCCACTGCGCCACTCCGTGGCTCAAGACTTGCTTGCATACCGCAGCAAAAAGGTGTAGCTTGCCGCCGCGCTGACCACAAGTGTTCTAGTGTAGATCCAGGGCTCCCTCAATACGGGGATGGCTACCTCAAAGTGGTAGCGGAGCCTGTGCCTTCGTCAAGTTCCGAAACGTGTTAAGCAGTTGATCTTTGCACACGATCCGACAACCGGACTTGCGAAGGCAACGTGTAGGTCAAGTCAGAGTGGCTGCCATGGTCTTAATCCATAACATGGATTCAGACGAGGAACAACTCCAAATTGTTTCCTATGAAGAGCCTGACGCATTCGCCGCCGCCGGTCAAGCCGAAAACCGGCTAGGCATCAACATGACTCCAAAGGTTCCACCGCAATTTGATAGCCAATCTAGCTGGATTGAATATGAAGATTTAATAGATGACTGGCTCGGGATCACAACATTGGATGCAGACAAGCACGGACCATCTTTGAAAAATGCCCTCGTAGGTTCAGCTTCTTTTTATAAGTCGATGCTCGACAATGCCCTACTCCGAGATCCGGATCGTGGCCTCGCTCATTTCAAGGACACATTGAGACCCTACTTCGTGAAGGGGGTAAATCATGTGTCCCTTTGGCGATTCTTGCAGATGTTTCGCACATATCGAGGCCAGAGCGAATTCGTGCACTGGATTGGGCGTTTCAAAATCGCTCAGAAGCGCCGAATGGCATCATGGTCCGACCTGCTTGACTTATCCGATCTCCCGGAAGCAGGCACACAGGCATTTACAGCAGCACTCACAGATGAACAAAGACTGCACTTTAATCAATTGGCACCAGATGAAAACAGACT